TGTGACAGGTAGGGACTGAGGGGTACTGAAAGAACCTGGCCAACAGGTCTGCTTTGATATGCAGACACCTTAGCCATTTGTCCCAGGTCTAAGATGTAACAATCACTGTTCTCACTTTTGCATGCTAGCTATAGTGATATTGTTCTTAGTGATTTTGGATTACTTCTTTCTTAAATTTTGCTTATTTATTTATGTGTGTGAGTGATGAATGTCTGTGCCATGTGTATGCCTGGTGTCTGCAAAGGCCAGGAGGAGGGTAGCAGTTCCCCTGGAACTGGAGTTATAGCTGATGGTGAGTGGCCATATGCATGCTGGGAATTGAGCCAGGGTCCTCTGGAAGATCATCCAGTGCTCTTAACCACTGAGCCATCTCTCCAGCCCCTGGATTATTTATTTCATATCTGTAGAATCTTTCAAAACCTGTTGACAACTTCTTTTCATTGGCTCTCAGGCTTCTTCTCTGTGACAGAGTATGAGAGAAATCTCTGCTCCACCACTTCTGGGCCTGGTGAGATGATGGTAGAGGGCTCCTAGTTCACAGTAGAGAGACAGAGAGGGGACAAGGACAAGACACACCCTTCCAGGGAGAGGCTCCACCTTATACTGTTTCTCAGTAGTTCATCCAGTTGTGAACTGACCAATGCGTTGCTACACTGAGACTGTTCACCGCTCATGACCCAACGGCACTGCTTACGAGTTCCAGCAGGGGGGAACCAGCTGGATTCAACTGTAACACGTTTTCTTAGGCAGATGAGGCTGGGTCCTAGAAGTTTACTGTTTATGTGATTTCTATAAGGAAAACAAATTAGAAAAATGGTAGAGTTAGCACTCAAAACGGACCAAAATTTTATTTTCAAACTCTTTAGACTATATTCCTTGTGTTTCATTCTTAGAGTATGTAATAAGCTAAGACTTTGGTATAGTAAATTCTATAAAAGTGAGTAGTATTCAGGTATGGGAAACCTATCCTGTCAGCCAACATTCGGTCTCTATTGTACTCTGCTTATCTTACTTAATAGTTTTGCTTTTCTGTCTTCTTCCTTCCAACAGGGAAGGGAGCTTGCTATAGTTCCAGCCAGTGATTGTCTAGCAAGCACATGCATCCAACTCACTGAAGTGGACCTCAGCCACTTACTGTGGCTAGTGCTTGCATCTAAAACGATGCATCTGTAATTTTACAGAAAGTTGTTGCAGTTTAGATGGAAGACACAGGCTGCTGTATTTAAGCGCTTGGTCATCAGCTAGCGGTGCTGTATCGGGGGTGTAGGATCTTTAGAAGGTGGCGCTGTAACAGGAGGGAATGAGTCACTCACTGGGCTGAGCCTTTGGCACTGTCCCCCAGGCCTGCCTCTGGCTCAGTCTCTGTCTACTTCCTGACTGCTAGCCAGATGCCTCCTGCTCACGTCATCACAGACAGGAACTGCCTCTGCATCAGTGCCGTCCCTGCAAGGATGCAGGGTATTACCCAAACCAGGGCCACCATGAACCATCCTCCTTTACCTTGCTTCTTTGGGGCACCTTTATCATAGTGATTAGAAAAGTGTCTAATTCTCGATACTTTGTATCCCTAATAATACTTGGATCTGTAATGTCCCCGAAGGCCCAGGTGTTTGAGAACTTCATGCCCAGGCCAAGACATTAACGGGGCCATGGCCTTGAAGAGCATCTTAGGGTTACTCTCCCTACCCTGTCTGCTTTGGGGCTGCTATGAGGTGAGGCAGCCTCTTCTGCCATATACTCTGCCTTGCCGCACTGCTTTGCCTCAGCCCCCAGAGCAATGGGCCACCGAACGGGACTGTCTTGGTTAGGGTTCTATTGCTGTGGAGAACACCATGACCATGGCAACTCGTATAAAGACAAACATTTAACTGGGGCTGGCTTAGAGTTTCAGAGGTTTAGTCTGTTATTGCCATGGCAGGAAGCATGGCCGTGTGCAGGCAGACATGGCGCTGGAGGAGCCGAGAGCTCATTCGCAGACAGCAGCAGGAGGCTGTGTGCCACACTGACTATAGCTTCAGCATAGGAGACCTTAAAGCCCACCTCCACAGTGACACACTTCCTCCAATTAGGCCACACCCAATAAACCTTTTTCCTTGCCCTAAACAAGCAAGGAGAAAGGTTTGCGCGGTAAACTAGCACGACTGAAGATTCAGTAGACTGCCATCTTGGAAGACTTTTACTTTGAGATCAGCAGAGGGCAGAAGGCTGTGAAAAGATACTTGCATATGACTAAAGCCTACTGTTGACAGATTGGACGCATGTGTGAACCCACCGGGATCAGTTAACCCTCATAGACATACGCGCGCACGCGCACGCACACACACACTTCCTACACATAAATACACGATTAAACAGTATAATAAAAGAACTCTCAGCCAACTGCTAGCACCTTAACTTATTTTTATCGTCTGTAGTTGGTAACTTTTTCAATGATAAGGTGGCAGACAGAAGGTACAACACTCAGTGGAGGAGGACACAGGGAAAGCCACGGTCACAGACGGAAACTCGTCATTCTGCGTACCCTGCCAAATCACCTCTACTTTTGAAAGCCAGGCTTAAACATCCAGGAATTGGTAGAGTGCTTAGCTAGCGTGCAAGAATCCTGGGTGTGGTGGGGCAAGACAGTTACCACAGCACTGAGTGTGGATGCAGGAGGATCCAGGTCATATGACCTCAGCCACAGGAGACTCAGGGAAGAACAGAGGGTGGGAAGATGGCCCAGGAATTGCCTTCAGGGTTTGTTTGTTTGTTGGCCTAAACCTCCTGTCCAAACAAAACCACACGGGAAATGCGTTATTACAAGCCCTCTAAAGTAACTACTGGAGAGAGAGCGCCCTACATTAAACCGGAGCACTAGATGAGGTGGCGGAAACCGCAGCGCTGACTTCACCAGCCTGGATGGACGAGAGGTCGCGCCACTGGCTCTTCCCGGGCAGTGGCGGACAGCGGTGTCCGGGGTCGGTCTCCACACCCTTCTCCCCCCCAACCCCCGCCCCGCCCTACAGGTGTGGGTTCTGCGGTGCACAGGAAGACGCAGTGGCGTCCCGGCGTTGCCGGGGTGACGGAGGGCCTTGCTGCTGCTGCTGGAGCTGGGGGAGGCGGAGGCGGATCCTGGGGCGGGGCACAGGGCAGGGCACGGGGCGGGGCGGGGCTGGGCTGGCAGGAAGCGGGGTCTGGCGAGCTGAGGCCGCAGGGCTGGGACACCCGGAGCTCGCCCGCAGGTAAGTGCCGGCACCGGTGCCAGCGTGGGACGCGGGCCAGAGCAGGGCGGATGGCCTCCTCCCGGGACTTGCAGAAGCTGTGGGCTTGCGGCGCTGGGCGGTGGCGGTGGCAGACTTGGTAGTGGTGTTTGCCCAGGCTAACCTCGCCGAGCGCCTTTGTCCTCCTGCTCTGCAGCCTCCCGGCTCTTTAAACTTTAAAAGGCGGCGCTTACGCTGTGTGGTCGAGAACTTGGCCCTGCAAGTTGAATCCTGTTTTGTTGCTCGCTTCTGCCTGGAAAGTGGAGAGAAGTGGCGGTTCAGGGAGCGGGCACAGGCCTGCGGGAGACAGGCTCAAGACCACAGGCAAGGGTTGGACCTGGGCGGGCACCCCAACCCCAGTGTCACCAGCAGCCTGCAGACCTGTTGCTGTCCCTCCGCGGGTCAGCCCCAAATAACTTTTCTCCACCGAGATAAACTGCTAGTGCTCACTGCAGAACAGGCTTCCTGTCGCTCAACAAGAGCAGCGCTGGTTAAAGTTAGAAAAATTCAAGCTTGATTGGTTTTTAAGGTCGGTCAGAGATACAGCTTTTATTTCAGAGCTGTGTCCTTCCTCCAGAGGCAAACCGAAAGCCCCCATGAATTTGCAGGGAGTGGACCCGTTGGACACACGGGGTCTATTGGCCATTCCCAGTTTAGGATTGAGTGGTGAGGGGTGGGAACCCGGGGGTGGGGTGGGGAATGTGCACTGACCCCTCCCTTTTTTGTCTGATTGTTTTTCTCTCTGCTCCCTCCCTCCCATTATGTCCCCAGTCATGGCTTTTCTATGTTCTAGGGGGGTGAGTTACTTCCTATAGGCTGACCGGGAATATGGGTAGATTCTCCTGACAGAAGGAAAGTGGCCGCTGGTGGAAGGTCTGGTGACAGGTAGTACAGCCTTCGCAGTCCCCCAGCGCCTGGCTTTCACTTCCAATTTCTCAGAGCTGACCTTAGGCAGGCCTGGTCCACGTTTTCTGTACTCTGGAGCTTTGGAAGTACAGTAAGATAAAGTATCTACAGTGCCAAGCAGTCAACAGTGGCTGATAGCTTTATTTGGAAATTACCATAAAGAGAAAAAAGACAAATTAAGGAACCAGAAGGCAATGTTTACATTAGGGTGGAACAGAAAAAGAGAAGTGAGAAGAAGCCAAGAATCAGGTTTAATTGTATACACATTTTTGATGACTAGTTCATCTACATTTTTGTAGACTGGTGACTACCCATGTCTAAATCTCTTATAGGGAATCTTAATCTCAGCTGCTGAAGAGGCTTAGGTAGGAGAGTCTCAGGTTTAAGGCCAGTCTGGATAACACAGACTACATCTTGGGGGCAATAATGCTTTGCTGTAACCCAGTACTCAGAAAGCTGAGGCAGAAGGAATGAGAACTGGGGGTCCTCCTGGGATCCACTGCTTTAAAACCCTTCCTACAGCAAGACTCTTGCCAAGTCTGCACCCATGTTGTGTGGCTATTTTTATGTCAACTTGACACGGAGAGACGTCATCTGAGGGGAACCTCAATCAAAATACCTCTATAAGATCAAGCTGTAGACAAACCTGTAAGGCATTTTCTTAGTTAGTGATTGATGTGAGAGGGCCCGGCCCATGGTGGGTGGTGCCACCCCTGGGCTAGTGATCCAGAGTTCTATAAGAAAGCAGACTGAGTAAGCCATTATGAGCAAGCCAGTAAGCAGCACCCCTCCATGGCCTCTGCATCAGATCCTGCCTGCAAGTTCTGGACTGTTTGAGGTCCATGTCCTGATGTCCTTCGATGGTGAACAGTGATTTAAAAAAAGAAGTGTAAGCCAAATGAACCCTTTCCTCCCCAACTTTGGTCATGGTGTTTCATCGAAGCAATAGAAGCCCCAACTAAAGCAGGTATCTTGGATGTCTATTGTAATTTTCCTAAGCCTCCCTTCTCTCTTCCGTAATGTTTGTGCGTAAGTCTATATTAAAAACTGTTTGAGGCTGGTAAGATGACTTAGCAGGTAAAGACACTTGCCACTTAGCCTGAGGACCTGGGACCGTAGTATGGAAGAAGGAAGCCTGCTCCTGTAAGTTGCCATCTTAACCTCCACGGAGCTGTGGCCTGAGGCTACCAGCCTCCCTGCATACCCAAAATAAATACATGTTTAAAAAACTTTATTAAAAGCGTACAGCCTAAGGTTAAACAGACTCTTACTGAGGTTGTGAATCTGACAACCTTGAAACTGGATGTCTGTCTAACCTAACAGATCAGCGCACAGACTTCGCAACAACTTGAAGCTAAGTCTGTAGGCCCTGACTGCGCTGACAGCAATATGTGAGGCACTGAAGCTTCACATTGAACAGGGAGGGTAGAGCTGGCCTCCAGGGCTTTCATCCTCAAGGACATGGCAGGCCTTGACTGGCATTTTGCCACAGCAGCCCTCTGGTACACTTTGAACTGCCTTAGGCAATGCGTTTGGAGGAGGCAAAGCTAAAGGAGGTGGCCAGCAGATCATCTTCAAGATCTCCAAGAAGGTGACCCCTTCTCTAAGACTAGCTGCCTTCCACTGGGGCTAACGAGCCTTGGTGTGAGGAGTGGTAATTAGCTCTCTGGCATGGTTTTGTTTAATTGAAAGGTAATTCGGTTAAAACTATCTCATTGGCTGAAAGATGAGGAAAGGCTGTGCAAAGAGGGAAGCCCTGAGCACCTCTGGTGTGGCAGGAAGGGAGCCCCATGCTGCTGACACAGAGCATCCGGGGCATTACCTGGGTCCTCTGATAGCACTGTTACCTTGCGGGCAGTTACCTGGAAAAAACCTTGGGAGAGTGGAGACCAAAGTAAAGACATTTCTACAGACTCTTAAACTCCTTATAAAATTTACCTCCTCACAAAGGCAAGAGAATCAGTCCCTTGCCAGATTCTCAGTTTCAGTCCTGACCCAGGAGCCTACATTCTAGCACTCACAAGGAATTCTGAGGCAGATTGAGGAAACCTGCTTAGCCGGGAGAAGGAAATGCCCTTCTGGACTCTTTATTGAGAAATGGTGTTGCCTGGGCAAACTCTAAGAGGGATAGGCTAAAGGGGACCTCGGCCGCTTCCCCACTCGACCTCACTGCTGTGTAGTAGTGTTTTTGTTTCAGTGGCATGGTATTGGGACAGTCAGAGCCCAGGGAGCCTGTCTAAGGAAAGAGGGGAAAAGAATCCATTCTGCAGAGAGACCTCTGCTAAAAGATGTACTTTCCTCTTTGTTCATAACTCTTCTCCTTAAACTATTAATTAACCAGGGGAAAAGAGATTACTGATCCAGTTTCATACAAAGGCCACTGGCTGAATTTTCTCATTACATTTAATTTCACCGAGAGCTTCTTGCCTGAGCTACTCTGGATGCTGAGCCAGGAGGAACAAAGCTTTCAGCCCATGAGTGTGAGGCCTTCCTCACACAAAGTGAGACCCCGTGTCATTAAACATAAAGACTGAGCTTCTCTGTTGTGCTTGCTACATCTCACATGCTTAGTAGCCACAGGAGGCTAGTGACCAACACATGGCATTGCAAACACTGAGCAGTTGCATCAGCACAGAAAGTGCTGTCGCACAGCACTCCCCAGAGTAGGGAAGGATGCAACGAAGGGTTGTTTGGAAGATGGCGAGGTGTGAGTACCCGGACCTCTTAATGGTGTTTTCTGTAGAGACAGACCATTCAGAAGACCAAAATTTGAACCTCTGCAGGCTTGCCCGCTTCCTTTTAAGTGTATTCCTTGTACTAGTAAGATTGCTGACCACAGACTGGATTCAGTTCTCCTGTATGACTCAGCTCCTGCTCTCTTTACAAAAGCATTTTTGGGTACAACACAGCCAACTGTGTATTCCCTTCAAACTCTCTAACCACAGAGTAGTTTAGCTCAAGGCAAATGTGCTTGGATAATATTTTCTCCATTTCTGCTTATGATTCGTTATTTTGAAGGCAAGAAAGGCATTGTATTGCTGTAACTGATTTGCTGACCAGATAGCTGCCCTTCATTTCCATTAGAGACTGGGGGTGTGAGAGGGGAAGGATGAGTGCTGTACTTTAGTTAAACAAGTGGGGCGTGGTGGTGCACACCTTTGATCCCAGCCCTCAGGAGGCAAAGGCAGGTGATCTCTGTGAGTTAGAGGCCAGCCAGGGCTACATAATGAAATCTTGTCTCAATAAATAAATAAATAAATAAAATTAACAAGCAACAACTTTGTTTTTATAATAGGTGAAAGTAAACCATGACAGAAACAGATGGCTTCTACCAAAGGTAAGTGCGCTCTTATCTAATAAAGCCATTTCCTTTCTTGGTCACAACTATCTCTAGAAATAAAAGTAAGAATGCAGTTGTCATGTTCAGCATTCTTTAGCATTTGGGGAGCTAATGTGTAGAGCAGGGGTTCTCAACCTGTTGGTCATGACCCTTTGGAAGTCAGAGGACCCTTCCACGGGGGAGCCTAAGACCATCAGAAAACACAGCTATTTATATTAAAATTGATAACATTAGCAAACTTATAGTTATCAAGTAGCAACAAACATGATGTTACGGCTGGGGGAGTCATCACAACGTGAGGGACTGTATTAAAGGGGCGAAGTATTAGGAAGGTTGAGAACCACTGGGTTAGAGGCCACACCTTGTCAAAGGACCTGCAGTGAAGTGAAGTTCAAATGATATACTTGGTAAGGTGTGGGTTTAATACTGGAGCTTGGCCCTGGGCCTGGCTGTTGTTCTGTGTCACCGGATCCTAGAGCCCGGGAGGAAACATCATTGCAGAGGGCCTGGGATGGGATGGGGGCTGAGGATGCACAGTGTTGCTAACCAACAGTTGCACCTCTTCCCTGATACAGCGCCCAGCCTTGTAGAAGCAGCAGACTCGATCTGCACACTGGCCTTGGGCTTAACATGAGGGTTTTTTTTTTGTTTGTTTTGTTTTGTTTTTTTTCTTGTTTCTTTCCTTTTTAGCAGGGAAGTGTTTGATCCAGCAGAACAGTACAAGATGGACCACAAGAAGAGGGGAATTGCCCTAATCTTCAACCATGAGAGGTTTTTCTGGCACCTGATGCTCCCAGAGAGGCGGGGCACTAGAGCAGACAGGGACAACCTAACTCGAAGGTAGTTTCCTCTGGTGATGATACACTTAAGTATTTCTAATTAGTATTAACTGATGATAATTTAGCACTGGAGACAGATTAAAAACCTCACTTGGACCTAGCGTGTGCTTATTTAGCACGCATGAGGCTCGGGGTTCCATCCCTGCCCCCACCACCCCTCCCCCATCTAAAAAATAAACTGAACTTCCCCTGAGAACTTGCCTAAGCTGTCTTCCTCACCCTGTTCTTTTGATTGTTACCAGCACTAACATATGTGCAGTAGACGGTAACAGTTGTCATTGAATTGGCTCTTGGCAGTGTTAAGCCCTTTCATAGAGCAGATGATCCAAGGGAAATCACCGTTGTTGTTTACACGTCGTCAAAATATGAGTGGAATTACTCAAAAACTAAGGATATTGGATGGTCTGGAAGAGCACACAAGCTGATGCTGAGTTTAATGTGTCACCAGGTTTTCGGAACTAGGATTTGAGGTGAAATGCTTTGACGATCTCAAAGCACAAGAACTGCTGCTCACGATTCACGAGGGTAGGTAGCCTTCCGTCCGAGATCTCCGGTGGGGTCGGGTGCTCTCTGCTAGCTCTAAAGACCAGTGCAAAGAAGCCCCTGTGCAGAAAACCAAGTTAGCAGTTTCAGCGGGTGGAGGTGTTGGTCTTGCCTCTGTGCTTCCATTCCCCACCAGACCTGGAGATCTGGCAACATTTATTATATTGGCATGCCTCCAGTTATACATTTATATACTGTTGTTATTATTAATAATAATATTACTCCAGAGTTGAAGGAAATGACCTGTTGGTGGTGAACATCTGAATTACAAATTTTTCAGCTGCTGGGCCCTTTTGATTAGGCCTGCTTACTCACCCTTCCCCTACTTGTCCTTTGTTTCTTGGTACTGACTTGTTTGTGTGTTTAAACTGTTGCATCACTGTGCAGTAGGTATTCTTATTATAATGCAGCTGAGAGTCAGTCCTTATTGCCTGCTGTGAGCCTTCTAATAGTTGCTGGTGGGCTGTTACTGCTGTTTGCATAATCCTTTTGCACTTTCTCCATCTTGTTCCTTTAATTAAATTATTATCGAAACTGGCTGCTTACTAAGTTTTCTACTTTGTTCAACAGCTTTGTAGGACACCGGGTTTCTACTCTACCCAGGAAGCTCTGAGAGTTAGGCGTGGCAGAGGGTGTAGCCACGGGCAGCTGTGATTGGTTGTTTCTAGTCGACTGTAGGAAAGTCTGATCCCTGAAAGAACCTTCTTATATATTGGTGCATGGGTCTGTTCAAAAGAATTTGTAAATTACCATATAGTCACTGTATGAAGCGGGTTTCGTGGTGACATTCATGTTCCATTTGGGGAACACGCATTTTGACCATGTTTACTCTTTACCTTCTATTCCCTCATCTCCACTCCGAGCAGCCCCCCTCCTCTTCCCAAATAGTCTGCCTTCCATTTTCCTGTCGCATGAGTGTGACAGGTGAGAGAACACTGTGAAGCTGAAGACTGTACCTTCAGGGACTGTTTGTGTCTTGTCTGTCCAAGTCTGCCCTGTTCTGCTTAGGGTGATGGTCTGTAGCTCTGTGTGTGTTCCTGCAGATGGCTTATTTGGTTCTTCTGTGGGGATGAATAGAACTCCGTTGGGGGACATACCACATTTTCTCTACTTGTGAGCTGAAGGCCAAGTAAGCTGATTCTGTAGTTTGTCTGTTGTGAGCAGTGCTGTCCTGGATTCCCTTGGCTCTGTTCCCAGGAGTGCTACCATTGGTAGCTGTGTTTGGTGTCTGAGGAAGCTCTGTATTGATTTCCATGGTGCATTTACTTATATACCAACTCCTTCCTTCCCAGTCCATTCCCCACCTCAACTGCCAGCTTCCCACCTCACCAGCACTGTTGTTGATGATGATGAGAGCCATTCTCGCTGAGGTAAATGATCTCAAGGTCTTTCTGATTTGCATTTCTCTGATGGCCAAGGTTGATTAACAGTCTTGTCATGCAGCTGCTGGCAATGGGTACTTCATATTTTGTTTTTTTTCTTCAAGACAGGATTTCTCTGTATAACACTGGCTGTCCTGGAACTACCTATGTAGAGCAGGCTGGCCTCAAACTCTCCAAGATCAACCTGCCTCTAACTCTCAAACACTGGGATTAAAGGCATGTGCCACTGCCATCGCTATCACTACCACCTGGTTTGGTGGTTTCATATTTTGAGAATTGTCCATTTGTTTCATTTATCAATTTCTGATCGGATTATTTGGTTTTCTAGTAGGCTTTTTCCCCCCTTCATATAGTCTAGATATTAACCTTCAGATGTGTAGCCAAAAAAAGATTTCTCCCATTCTGTAGGCTGTATTCTCACTCTGGTAATTGTTTCTTTTGCTCTGAGGTTCATTTAGTTTCAAGTGATCCCATTTGTTAATTTTTGGAAGTATTTCCTGAGCTATTAGAGTCATTTTCAGAAAGCTGCCCGTATCATTCATTTATTATTTGTGTGTGTGTTTGTGTGCGTGCATGTGTGTGAGTGAGCCTGTAGGCGTGCCACAGCACCCATGTGGATATCGGGGACAGCTTTAGGAGGGAGTTTTCTATCATTCGTATTCTGAAATCAGGCTTGGCCATAACCACCTTTACCTGTGAACCATCTCAGCACCCTGCTTATGCCTGGATCTTGAAATGTTTATAGTAGTTTCAGGTCTTGAAGTTACTTCCCCGTGTGGATGTCCAGGTTTCCCAGAACAGCTTATTTCAGAGATTGACTTTTGTGTTTTCTCTCATGTATGTTTTGCTTCCTTTGTCAAAAATTAGGTGTCTGGAGCCCTGTGGGTTTATTTCTGGGTCCTCAATCCCATTGGTCGATGCATCTCTGTGCTGGCATCACACTGGTTTCGTCACTGACTTCTGCACTGTAAATTGAAATCAGTGTGGAGCTAACCCCAGCTTAGTTCTAGTTCCTGAGGATTGCCTTCACGATCAGGGTCCCCGATGCTTCTGTACTCAACGCAGGATGTTTTCTATCATAGCCTAATGTGGAAAGTTATCGTGAGAAGCTGTGGATGGCTTTTGTATTGTAGCCATTTTCTTCATGTTGTCAGTCTGTGAGCACGGAGGACTTTCCATCTTCCACTGAGAGGTCTTGCACCTCTTCTGTTTGTTCCTGTGTGTTTCCTTTGGAATGCTGTTGTGAACAGTGTTCCGTTTCGGCTTTCTCAGTGTGTAATAGCACACTGAGAAGGAAGCTTCCAGTCTTTGTATCCTGCTGGTTAGTTGAAAGTGTATATCAGATCTAGAGTTCCTGGTGAAGTAATTAGTGCTTTTTAATTTTTAGTATCTCATGTGTGGGAGTGTTTTGCCTTCATTTATGTAAGGTACCTGGTGCCATGAGGGGCCAAAAAGAGAGCATTAAAGTCTAACATAACAGATGGTTGTGAGCTGCCATGTGAGTGCTGGCAACTGAACCAACAGCTGCCTGTGATCTTACCTGCTCAGCCATCTCTCCAGCCATTCAGTGTCTTTTAAATATGGGGTCGTGCCATCTACAAACAGGGGTAATTTATTTCTGTCTTCCTCTTTTGTGTCTCTTTTATTTCTTCCTCTTGCCTTACTGCCCTGATTAACACTTAAAGAACCATACTGAGTAAAAGTGGGAGAGAATGTATTCGCTTGTCTCTCTAGGAAGTGCTTCGCTTTTCCTCTGTTAGGAGAGGGTTGCTGTAGTTCTGTTGTGAATAGCCTGTGTGGTGGTGAATTGTGTTCTTTCTGTTCCTGGTTTCTTCAGGGCTTCCATCAGAAGAGGATGTTGAGTTTGTCACTTTTTTGCATCTATCAAAATGATAATGTGCTTCCCTCCTTGAGTGTGTTTATATGCTGTATTATATTCACTGATTTGCATATGACGAGCCAGCGTTATAATCCTGCAATTAAGCCAGCTGGGTCACAGTGTATGTTTCTTTTCATGTGTTGCTGAATTCCGCTTGCAAGCATTTTAACTGAGCATTTCTGTATACATGGTCCTTGAGGATGTTGGTCTGTGATGTTTATGTTGTATCTTTAAGTAACTTGCATCTTAAAGGAGCCTTCCCATGTTTTTCTCCATCATTTTTCTGTACTTAAGACCAGCCAAGCTTCAAACTTTAATAATTTTTTTTTAAGCCAGCTATGGTAGGTCACATCTGTCATCCTACCATGAGGAGGCTGAGGGTTGAGGGTTAAAGGGTATTTAAGGCCAGCCTTCATGGACAACAATGTCACTCCCTGTCTCAAACAACCAGAATTTAGAAGGAAACAGTTTAGGGCCAGCCTGACTCCAGGATGAGAGCCAATATCAAAACCGAAGGAAAAAAAAGATAAATATGTGTGTTACTATAGGAAGTTTGTATTTATTAAAGCAAACTCCTCTCCCGCCATGTTGTAAGTGTATTTTTGTTCTAGAACCTGTAACTTGAAGTTCTACATGTGGATAACGAGCTCTTATTTTCACCCCTGCATGCGTTTTGGGGGTCATCTGTAGTGTCGACCTCAAGCCATGTAGACGCCGATTGCTTCCTGTGTGTCTTCCTGAGCCACGGGGAAGGCAACCACATTTATGCCTATGACGCCAAAATTGAAATTCAGACATTGACTGGCTTGTTCAAAGGAGACAAGTGTCAGAGCCTGGTTGGAAAACCCAAGATATTTATCATTCAGGTAAGACTGATCTTATCATCTTGGTTATAAAATCAAGTATGTTGATTATAAAAGTTAAAAAAGTCATTTTTCTAAAATAAGTTTCTCCAGTAACTGGAAAGGCCCTTTGTACATCCCGTCAGAGTTGGCATTTGTTATAAGAGTGTTCTGAGCTGGGCAGTGGGTGGCACACACCTTTAGTCCCCACACTTGTGGGTTGAGGGCCAGCCAGCCTGGTCTATAAAGTGAGTTTTCGGCCAGCCAGCGCCACCCAGGTAAACCCTGCCTCGAAAAACAAACAAACAAACAAACAAACAAAAAAAGCAAAACAAAACAAAAAAAAGTGTTTTGATCAACATTTGCGATGACAGCTAATCGCTGGTGTGACACTGCACTGTGGGGCTGGGCTGGGTGTGGGGAAGAAGCCACTGGAAGGGACGGCGTTGATTGCCCAGGACCATGGAAGGCTGCGCAGCTACACTGGGCTTGGGCCTGTGGGAGCTAAAGTGCATGCAAGCCAGTGGAAGTGAGTAGGAGGAGTCTTCAGCTGCCGCATCCCCTGTACACGTCCCTAAGCTGACAGATAGTTTTAGAGATTAAAAAAAAAAAAACAACAAATGTTTGGAGCATGAGAAATTTGGTTTTAGAGACTTCAACATGTGAATTTGAGGGTGGAGCACGGTGTAGCCTATAACACTGTAGAGTGTGTTTAGCTCAGTGGCGGCACTTGCTTAGCAAACATGAGGCCCCCAAACCAGAAAAAAAAAAATTAGGGGCTAGCTTCTGAACCAGGATTAATAGATGTAAATTTAGAACGCACTTTAAGTTGAGAACAAAGGCTGGAGAGAGAGAGAGAGAGAGAGAGAGCTCAGGGCTGGAGGGATGGCTCAGTGATTAATAGCACACATGGCTGCTCTTGCAGAGGATCTAAGTTCCAGTCCATGTTCCAAGGGACCCAACACCGTTTTCCAAACTCCGGGGCCACATGCAGTCACATGCAGTCACAGACACACCCACAGACATACACGTAGACACATAATTTTTAAACATTGAAAAAAAAAATACAGTGGGCACAGAAGGCAAGGCACATGGACGGATGACTTCTTGAGTCAGCCAGATGTACATTGTCACAACTGGAGACCTCAACTAGGCAGTCAAAACATCATTTGGGTTTAACTACCTGATTGAATAAAAACATTTTAAATAAGGATGATAGTTTTTAAAAAAAAGAAGGGTATACCATTTGGCACATTTTGGTGTTTGTTTGGGAGGTGGGTGGGGGCGGGAAGGGACCGGGTTTTGTAAACGTTGTCTATAAGGAAATGTTACTGGGAAGGCAGCTTTGTTAGCTTTGCCTCTCTCAGAGCCCGACTGCATTGTTCTAGAACTGCTTATGTGGCCTGTTACTAATGGACGGTGCGCTGAACATGACATCTTCTCACTGCACACCAAGCATTCGTGACAAGATGGCAGGCAGAAAACTCACTCTTTTCTCTCTCTTTCGTAGGCCTGTAGGGGCAACCAGCATGACGTGCCAGTGGTTCCTCTGGACGTGGTGGATCATCAGCCGGACAGGCCGGACAATGTCACCCAGGTGGATGCCGCCTCTGTGTACACCCTGCCTGCGGGGGCAGACTTCCTCATGTGCTACTCCGTCGCAGAAGGTGAGTGAACGGATGTTGCGCAGAAGCCTGTGCCCTGTACGCTTGGCTTAAGCCTGTCACCTTTGAATTGGAGTAGTCTTTCACAATTAAATTACCATGTCCTATTAAAAAGCCACAGACCTAGTCGCATTGAAGAAATCCTTTCTGGTTGATAAATGAAATGTAAAATACCTTATAGAACAACAAGATTTCCTGTGTATATTTATTATGTGTGCACCTATGTGTGTGTATGTATCATAATAATATAAGAACAACAGGGCCTTGTAATCGTATTGGGTATTAGCAGCTTTGCTGTCACTGGTGACAGAGGAGCGGTGCCATTCTGATAGAATTGTGGAAAACCTTGTTGAAAAGCATTTTGCTGTGTTCTTTTCTTTCTAACCAAATGGTTTTGTTTAATCTCTGGCCTCGAAAAATCATTAGGTATTCTTTTGTTCTAGTTTTCTTTTTTTTAGAAAGTGGAGGAAACTTCATTAATCCTTTGTATGTAAAACCATAGAATTAGTATGTTTTCCTACATGGGATCAAGCAATAGTAAAATTGTACCCGCATGATGAGAAGCACATCTTATTCTTTCCCAAGGACTTTCGAGACCTTTCGTTTCTGTACCTGAAGTAATCATAAAAGTGTCTTCCATTGACCTTGAAGCAAAAAATTATGAAGCACCTCCCTCCATCTTGTTTTAGGGTATTACTCTCACCGAGAGACTGTGAATGGCTCCTGGTACATTCAGGATTTGTGTGAGATGCTGGCGAGGTACGGGAATACCTTGGAGTTCACGGAGCTGCTCACGCTGGTGAACAGAAAGGTCTCTCAGCGACGTGTGGACTTCTGCCAGGACCGAGGTGCGATTGGCAAGAAGCAGGTTCCCTGCTTTGCCTCAATGCTGACCAAAAAGCTGCATTTCTGTCCCAAGTAGGCTTATCTCTCTTGTGTTTGTTATTTTTCAATCATGTTGGGCATGGTGAAAGGACTAAAAGAAATCCTCAGGAAATTACTATGCGTAAATGTCTACCAGCATTTATTACATTTTTAGCAAACTGCAAGATTACTCAAAATGCCAGTTAGTGCCTTACATTTTATGACACTATTTCTACAAGTTTATTGTAGAATGTTTTTAAAAGATTTTTGAAACTCGAGAATGAGATTGTTTTCACTTAATAAAATACCTAAAACTCATATTATTAACACTTTCTTCTCTAATTCATGTGCTTATATAATTTACAGTGGAGTCTATTTTACTTGGTCGTGTATTTGTTTATTGTTTTGCTTGCCTATAGTTAAGGTATGTTGTGGATGGACTTAATTCCCATTTGGGGAAAAAAATAAACCTTAAAGAATTATTTTACGGCACTCTGGGGATGACACATCACCGCTATGTAGGCACATGCGTAGTATATACCTAGCCACTCTAGGTACATACAACCGCTATACGCACACACACGCAGTGACACCTGGCCACTGTAGGCAAAGTCCGTACATCAGCAGCTTTGCCAGGGCACACAGGCCATTTGAAACGTCAGTCCACACAGATCCACAAACCATCTTGAGGGAGAACGTCAAAGAATACCTCTGTTTTACACAAATTTATTAACCAAACAGTATCTGAAACCATCAAACGGAAATGAACGTGACCTGAAAAATGTCCAGCTGGCAAGTTACAAAATCGGCACATAGCCCAGTGATGTTTAAAAAAACATAAAGCTAGTTCTCCTCACTGAATTCCTCTCCTTGCGTTTTAAAATAGAGGGAGTGGCGCACTTTTTCCAGGGATTCTGTAGCCTGTTGTGGGGGGGGGGGGGAAATAGCTTCAGATCAGAGAAAATAAGAAATATTGTCATTGCTGTCATTGTACAAATTGATCATCTCTTCAGGACAAGAAAACGTTTAAATCACTGAGGTAAATGCCTTGTGTGGATCCTTTTTGAGGTTTTTTGTTTGTTCAGTTGTTTGATTCTTTTGAGACAGGGTCTCCTTGTATACTTCTAGCTTTCCTAAATTGAATGTGTAGACCAGGTTGGCTTTGAACTCACAAAGATCAATCTGCCTCCCTGGTGCTGGGATGCACCACTATGCCCAGCTTTATGAATCCTTTTTTAAAAGATGAGTTTATGGCTTCATTCCACCCTCTCTTGGTACTCTGAAAAGAAACTACCAGATAAACCCTTTCATCATTTCTCCGTGCCCCCAATTCATATTCTTAGCAAAAAGTTGGGGATGGATTTTTTTTTTTTAAGTACATGAAAAATCTAAGCCTTGCATGCATTTCTCTGTCTCCTGAACAAAACCAGCTCGGACATATAGGTGCAGGAAGATACCTCAGCAAGCTCCTCTTTTAACCTGTTGTACTCTTCCACGTAAAAGCGCTGTTGCTGTGACTTCCTGTGGAAGAAATGAAGAAACTGCCTGCTCCGAACACATGAGTAAGTGTAGTTCTAAAGGAGAGAGGAGACACCACAGTTTAAATGAACAGACTAATTCAGTTGTGCCAAGTCAAAGCAGGGAGATAAAGGGGCAGAAGTGTCTACAGTGGCCATCAGGGCAGAGAGCCCGCAGAAGTATTGCACTCATTGGAGTTAAGAGCAGTTGCCCCTCTTTGTAAGTGGGCAGTGAGAGACCAAAAGATTAAAAATCAGCAGCTATTAATAATATTTAAGGCCTAAACTAGATGGGTGGAGAAGTCCAGCAATACCTTGAGGGGAAGAACCCACCTTACTGCATTCTTTCCCCACCCACTAGAGATACAGTTGCTTGGAAAGTGGCCCATCCCCCTAGGGAGGGACACCAGATCATTAATGGTTTGGGGACCTTCCTATAGCCAATCATTTCAGAATGTAACATTTTGACCAATAGATGCTTGCCAGGCAGGAATGCCCCTGCCTTGGGCATGCTGGGAGGGACCAGAATCTTTAAATCACCCAGCTATCCTGAGCGTGGAGCTCTCGGCTCTCACCACTTCGGTGGTGGGGGGTGTGAGCCCAAGCTGCAGCTTGTAATGACTTATAATAAAAAGAACCTCATGTATTTACAGTGGAGTCTATTTACTCCTGGTCTTTTGGGGTTCACGAACTGGACAGAACAGGCAGAGTGGGGTGAGAAAATGGACACACCGAGAGAAAAAAAAAGGTGGAAAGATTTGGCAAAGCAACCTTGAGACAAAGCCAGTTACTGGGTATAACTAACTTTTGTAGTACAAGTTCAATGTCATTGATTAATGAGAGAACAAGAATGCAACATTTACCCCCATGAAGGAGTTCATGTCTTTATTATACTAATTCATCTGTAGGAATTAATATTTTTGATGCTATAAGGGCTCCATCCAGACTTGCGAAAAATCAACGAACTTCAGGAAATGAAAGGGCTTCAGTGCTTGCTGCTTGTGCTGGCTAGTTTTATGTCTGCTTGACCCAAGCTACAGTCACCTGAGAGAAAGGAGCCTCTGTTGAGAACTAGATCAGGCTATAGACAAGCCTGTAGGGCATTTTCTTACTCAGTGACATGGGAGGGCCAGGCTCACCTGTGGGCAGTGCATTCCCGGGCTGTACGAAGGCAGGCTGGGCAAGCCAGAAAGCAGTACTACTTCATGGCCTCCTCACCAGTCCCTGCCTCCAGGTTCCCGCCCAATTTGAGCCTCTACCTTGGCTTCCCTCAGAGGACTGCGACTTAGGATATATAAGCCAAATAAACCCTTTCTTCCCAGAGGTGCTTTCAGTCATGGTGTTTTATCAGAGCAACAGAAACTCTTAACTAAGACACTGCTTGACTCAGATGAGGCATTCTTCAGACCAGTGGTTCTCTACCTTCCTAATGCTGCGACCTTTAATACAGTTCCTCATGCTGTGCTGACCCCAACCATAAAATTATTGTCATTGCTACTTCATAACTAATTTTTGCTGCTGTTCTGGATTGTAAGGTAAATATCTGCTATTTCTGATTGTCTTATGCAGCCCTTGTTAAGGGATCTTTGGGGGGTCGAGACCCACGGCTTGAGAACCATTGCTTGGCATGGATGTTCTGGCTTACCGTTTTCCTAACTACTCACCTGCCGAGTTACGATGAAGTAGGCAAAAAAGACCATGGAATTTGCAAATGTGAGGAAGAACGTAACTGGCTCCATGATATCCCAGGAGTACTCCCACCAGGTCAGCCAGGCCAGTGCCCCACCCTGCACAGAGAGCAGAGCTAAGCCGGCCCACAGGAGTCCACTGGTTTTGGCTTCTGACCTAGCTTCTATTTGAGCTCTGACCTGGAGGAAAGGGAAAACCGTTCATTTTACAGGCCTGTCAGCTTAAGGAGAAAACAAAAGCAGCGAGAAGCAGTTGAACTGGTGAACATTTTTTTAGGAGGTCAGGTATGTAGAAAACGATGGAATCCTGTCTTCCCTGGAGCTTGCTGTGCAGACCAGGCTGGCTTTGAATTCGTAGAGGTCTGCCTTCCTCTGTCTCCCCAGTGCTGGGTAAAGGCAGCCACCACCATACCCAGCATATCATTTCTTGAAAGGCAAAATGTGAGTAAATAATCCAGAAAAATGAAACCAAAAAATTGCTTCTCTACCACTCTTCCAGTGCCTTTGGAGATAAATTATGACATTTCTAGAGTTCATACACAAAGTTCAGCTACTCGTTTTTAAAATTACAAATGGAATTATAGCTTGAGGGATCCAAGTTTGCCTCTTAAAACAGACTAGACCACCCCTAGCCACATATCTAAATATCTATATATCTATCTTTATCTATCGTCTATAATTAGGAGAAAACAAATAACCACAGATGTTCTAAGGAAGCCATTGCTAACTTGCCACCCACAGTTCTCTTAGGCAGAAGTGAGGCCTGTGACGTAGCACTCTACAACATGAATTTCACAGCCTGCTGTTCAGAGCAGAAGACATCAGCGCTGAGTCACATCTGCCACATGCTGGCTGTACACCTGCCCAGTGAACTCATCTTGAAATGAAGAAGATGGGTACCCCAGCTCACAGCCCTTTTTTTTTTTTTTTTGGATTGGGCGCACAAAAAACCCCCAAATGATCTTGTGACAGGCACTTGCTAAGAAGAGGCCTAACTGTCCCACCTGCTCCAGGGGCCGCAGCTGTTCCTCCAGGTGGTAAATCTTTGCCAACAGATGGCGCTCTCGTTGCTTCTGAAACTCTTCCAAATGCAAGACTGCAAATAGTCTGTGAACCAAGGACTTCATGTTTTCCATCTCAGTCATGTGCTCTTCACTTGGTTTTTCTGAGGCAAGGTAAGAGAGACAGAGTAGGCATTTACTATGTGTTTTTCCTCCAGGAGTCCGGGCAATGAGATCTGAGTCCCTGAACCTGACATTCTGAGCTCTGGCCCTGAATCCACTGGGATGTGGTTTATCACCAGTCTCTCCTACGTCAGTCTGTAGTGGTAAATTGCCAGACGGTGGGTTTAAAATTCAACTTTTTCTAGTCAGATTGTCTTGCCTCCTTTTGCAATGTGACTTTACTGTTGCTCTAAGAAAGATACGTATGGGTATGTACAGGTCTCAAGATAGTGACCGGCTGAATGGATTAAGAAAGAATACCTGTTTGCTGTATTCAAGAAACCAATGTCAACAGTATATCATTTCATGGGGTGAAAATAAGAGGATTCAAAAGAGCATTCTCCAAATTAGTAGAATCTGAACAAAGCATGTTTCAAACCAAAATTAGGAAGACTACAATAAATCACTACATATTAATAATGGGACAATCCATCAAGAAGATATAATAATTATAAATATTTATATATGGAACATTGATATGCCCAGTTTCATAAACACTATTGGACAAAAAGGGACAGATAATACAGATACAGCAGTAAAAAGGGAGGTCTTCAAGGCCAGGCAGATAGTTAACATTATTCTGAAGAAAAATAATGGAAAGTATTTCCTTTAAAAACAAATGAGAATGGGTCCACTCCTACCAGTTCTAAATCAATAGCATGCTTTTGAGTTCTTGGCAAGAGAAGAAAAACAAGACTACAAATAAGAAAGGAAGTAAATTCTTAGATCTGATGAACACTTGCAGCAAGAGACAAGTAGAAATGAACATGCTGAGAAAGAATCAGGAAAACAAGCCAGAAACGGGGGTTTGGAGAGAGGGGAAGAAATGAGGGAAGAAAGAAATGAGGGAAGTAGGTATCAAGGTTCAACCAGAAGGTGAAGAAAGTCCACTACAATGAAAACTAATACTGGACAGTGAGCAGGGTACCTGATAGGCAGGTGAGCAGAGAACAAGCTTGCAGCCTGGCTGCGGACTCCAAAACGCCGCCATCTGTGTGTTCCAGATAAAAGGAGGCTCCCCTGCAGCTAGGGAGGCACAGCCCCAAACCCAGGACTCCCAGACCCAAGGGGCACACCCAGTGCCTTCTGCCTACCTGAACACAGCTCCCCAATACCAGGGACACACTGCTCCAGACTCCCGGACACCAGGGTCCTCTTGCTTCCCAGAGGTCAGCATGGCCTCCAGACACCAGGAACATGATCCCCAGGCTCTGGCCTGCGGTTCTGTCTGTCTCCCAATAGAAACATACACAATCTGGTCCCAAGATGGCAGAGCCCAGCACCCATGGAATTTGAGTATGTACCCAGAGAGCAGGAACTGTGAGCGAGCAAGGACCCACACTGCTGACTCTGAAATGGCAGAGTCCATTTGTGTTTCCCCAGAGAGAGGAGGAGATCCCAAACACACACACACACACACATGGATCCAGACTCAGACTTGCCGGCTAACCTGCCCCCTGAGGACGACTCTGCATTCTAGAGACACAAAGATCTAGCCTACATCATAGCTCTGCCAGCTGCCCTAAGCAGATCCATCAAACCGCAGGTTCACACAAGGCAAACACCCACACATGAATCCCCCTGGCTTATAGGTCCAACTGGAACACAACCAGAAGAGAAAAGCTACAAGCATATCACAGAGATCTACCCTACCCTCCATGCCTGAAAATCCTAGCTGGCTGCAGGAATAACTGGCCAACACCAGTGATCAACAGATGGCTGAAGGCCAGTGTAAGGACACAATCAATAAAAACCAGGGCAATATGGCTCCACAAGAACCCTCAAACACTGAGTATCCTAATGCAGCTAAAACACAGGAAAATGACTTTAAAACTATGCTAATGAAAATGTTAGTGGACTTTAAAGATGAAACTAATAAATTCCTCAAAGAAATGCAGGAAAATGCCATCAAACAGAGGTCTTTAAAAGGAAACACATCCCTCAAAGAAATACAGGAAAATACAATCAAACAAATAGAGGCCATCAAAGACATATAGGAAAATACAATCAGGTGAAGGAAACGAATAAAACAATTCAAGACCTGAAAATAAAAATAGATTCAATAAAGAGAATACAAACTGAGAAAATCTTGGAGATTGAAAACTTAGGGAAGAAAACAGGAGCTACAGAAGTAAGCGTCACCAACAGAATACAAGAGATGGAGGAGAGAATCTCAGGTATAGAAGATACAATTGAAGAAATTTATACATCTGTCAAAGAAAATATTAGATTAAAAAATTCCTTTCACAAAGCATCCAAGAAATCAAGGACATAATGAAAAGAATCCCTGCTCCAAGGACCAGAAAATATTTTCAACAGAAGAAAAATTTCCCAACTTAAAGAAAGAAATGCCTTTAAACATACAAGAGGCTTACAGAACATCAAATAGATTAGACCAAAAAAAGAAATTCCTCCCACCACATAATAAAACACTGAATGTACAGAGCATATATATATATATATATAATATAAATAAATATATATAATATAAATATATATAATATATATTATATAAATATATATAATATATATATTAAAAGCTACAAGGAAAAAAGGCCAAGTAACATAAAGGCAGACTGATCAGAATCACACCAGACTTCTCAAAAGAGACTTTGAAAGCCAGAAGAGCATGGACAGATATCATGCAGACCCTAAGAAAACACAGATGCCAGCCCCCATTACTATACCCAGCAAATTTTCGATCACATAGATGAAGAAAAGATATTCCATGACAAAACCAAATTTAAACAATATCTATGCACAAACTCAGCCCTTCAGAAGATACTAAAAGAAAAACTCCATCCCAAGGACGTTAACTACACCCAAGAAAACACAGGATATAAATATATTGCAATAAAACCAAAAGAAAACTAACACTGAAGAAGACACTGTAAGGGAAGACCTTTCATGTTCATGGATTAGCAGAATTTGACCTTTCAGATAACATCGTAGACTAGAGCCTGCTTCTATGTGAGCCAGTGAAGGGTCAGAATAAGAAAGAAAAAAAAAATAGAGCCTATTCCATCAGAGGAAGAATATGGAAATCCATAAAGGAAGTGAACACATTAGGAAAAAGAGGGGGGAGGGGTGAAGGAGAAGTAAGCCAAACACAGCTTCACCTGCAAAGTTTTGGAGGCAGGGAGCAGAAGCTGCCCCAACACAAGACAGCAGATTGTTTCCTCTTTGCTGAGACAAACTGGGGAGCGGGAAGGTTCAGTGTTTTGGGAAGATTAATCAAGAAAAGAAACAATCTAAAAAAAAAATAAATGGAAGAGAGATCCAAGTCAACATATCAGAAAGGGCAACATGACTCCTCCAGAAGGTCATAGCTCCTGATGTCAAGAGATGGCTGAAACAGGGAAAGCAGTGGGTTGTCTGGCAAAAAATGAACAAAGACTTGAAGACACAAACAAACATGAATTCAATCCAGGACCAGGAGAGGAAAAGTCAGCAAAATTGATGAGAAAATGAGCAATGTGGATGAAAGTCAGCAATGTGGAAGGAAATTAGGGTTTTTGAAAGGGAGAGGGAAAACAAGGAACAAAAATACTGTAAATGAAAAACTCAATGAATAAACACAAAACATACAGGAAACCATCACCAGCAGACTCAGCCAAGCAGCAGAAAATATATCAGGAAGGACAATGTCCTGCTTGGATTTTGTGTGAACTAGACACAAGCTAGAGTCATCAACAGTTTTCTGAGTTGAGTTTTAATTTAAAAACGTGTCTATCGGATTGCCTGTAAGGAAGCCTATAGAGAATTCTCGTGGTTACTGGTTGATGTGGAAGGCCCAACCCACTGTGGGTGGTGCTAGTCAGGTGGTCCTGGGTTATGTAAGACAGCAGGCTGAGCAAGCCTTGAATAGAAAGCTAGTAAATAGCATTGTTCCATAGCTTCTGGTTCTGTTCCTGCTGCCAGGTTCCTGCCTTGAATTCCTCAATGATGGACTGTTACCTGGGAATGTGAGATGAAATAAACCTTTTGCTCCCCAACTTGCTTTCGGTCATAGTCTTTATCACAGCAATAGAAACTAAACTCAGACAGAAATGAATGATCAAATACTACATTCAAACATCAAAAAGGCAAATGAAGCATAAGCATGAGTCTGAAATATGGTCAGAAACCAAGTTTAAAAATTTACGAGATAGAGGGAGTTGAGATAAATACTAAATGCTTAGAAAATCTATTCAGCGAAATTATAGCAGGTTTCTTTTCCTTTATTTTTATTTTTTGGGTTTTTTTTTGTTTTTGTTGTTGTTGGTGGTTGGTTGGGTTTTTTGTTTTGTTTTGTTTTTGTTTTTGTTTTTTGTTTTTTGTTTGTTTTTGACATGGGATTTCTCTATGTAGCCTAGGCTGTCCTGGACTCACTTTGTAGACCAGGCTGGCCTCAGATTCACAGAGATCTGCCTGCCTCTGTCTCAGCACGTGTGCTTCTGCACCTGGCTCCTATAGCAGGTTTCCTAAAGATAGAAAAATCAATGAAAACACAACCAAAGTCTGGGATACCTCCAGCATTGTTCTTCTTGCTCAGGACTGCTTTGCCTATTCAGGGTCTCTTGTATTTCCTATGAACTTCAAAATTACTTTTAAAACTCCCATTTATTTTATTTTATGTATATGAATGTTTTGCCTACATGTAAGTAAGTACGCTGTGTGTGTGTGTATTGCTGGATCTCTGGAGCTGGAATTAGGAATGGTTGTAAGCCACCATGTGGGTGGTAGGAACTCAACTTCCTTCAATGGCAACACGTTATCTCAACCACTGAGCCATCTCTACAGTTCCAAGGTGATAATGAATAATAATAATAAAAAACAAAAAACAGTGAAGGCATAAGGTAGGGACAGTGAGAATAGAAATTTATAAAAAGTGGAATGGGGCATTAATGTGATTATGCCATGGAGTTTGTTGGTGACACTGTTTAGAAGTACAAGCAAACTTCTTGTCTCTTCCTAAAAGATGCGAGGGTGCAAGCCAGAGGAGGGTACCTACTGTGCTTTCAGAGAAATGGGTAGCACAGGACTCCTGTGTTAATTGCTAACCCAAACTGACCAGGTATTTCTGCATCTCCTAATAAAACCCATGTTTTATTCATTCATTTACATGGTTGTTGTGTTTTTATATGTCTTCCATGGAGATTTCATTTCCACTACCCGATCTTTTAAACTTACATCTGTTAATGTATAAGAATTACTTGAAATGGATTTTAACTCTAATTCTGTCATTTAATAAATTCTTCTTTAATTAATCCAGTGTGATTCTTCTATCGGTTTCCATGCCATCATGTACACTGTGCCCTTCCCTGTTCATTCGGTCTGTGTGATGGGTTTCTCACAGTAACGATACGATAACATGCGGTGGCACCAAGAACAGTGAGACTGAGGCTCACCAACCAGGAGCTCAACCCTCATACAGTGCCTCTCCTCACAGACAACACAGTCTTCTCTTGAGCTGGAAAGAGCTGGAGGTTGAGCCTTGGCCCTTGTGGACCTAACCTTCCATGCTGGGATTTGGAAGAGAGGGAAAGGTTTTACAGCACAGACTTTGGAACTATTAGACTAAACTATGCATCTTAATTGGCTTTCTGTTGCTGTGATAGGCACTAATCAAAAGCAACTTGGGAATGAAAGTGCCCAGCTCATCACTGAGGAAAGCCAAGGCAGGAACCTGGAGGCAAGAAATGAAGCAGATGCCATGGAAGAGTGCTGCTCACTGGCTTTCGCCTCCATGGCTTACTCAGTTTGCTTTCTTATACCATCCAGAACCACCAGCCCAGGGCTAGCACCACCCAGAGTGGGGTGTTCCCTTCCACATCAATCATTACTCAAGAAAATGCTCCACAGACTTGCCCAAGGGGTAGTCTTATGGGGGCATTTTCTCAGTTGAGGTTCCCTCTTCACAGATGACCATATTGTGCGTGTGTGTGTCCTGTTGACAAAACCAAATTAGTGTACTATGAAAACAACTGATCAATGCCTTAAAGTCTATACTGGATAAAGTGAGAAACATCCAAAAGCATAGAGTGAATCAGACTAACTTTGTAACCTATGTTTCTTTTAATTGCCTTATAACTTACATTTGCAAGTTTTAGGCCCATGTTAATTAAAGCCTCTTAGTGCTTCTCCAGATAGCTGAGGAATGTAAAAGTTCCTGACATTAGCCATCTGTGAGGGCAGAGATAAGGAAGAGAACAAGCAGAGATCTCTACTAAATGGAGAGAAAATCACCGGCTGGCGCCGGTGAGATGGGCTTTGTTTGGAAACTGGGCCAAATGGCCCCAATCCTTCTCCTGACCTTTGATCCAAAGCCTGTAACCCCCACTCCTCAGAACAGACATAGGATGAGTTAATCATTCTCCCATCTTTAACTGTGGATGGCAGGAAATTCCAAACTGACTTGAAGATCAGATATTTACGACAGGGCTGACTGGACCTAAGGGTGACCAGAACTAACCAATTATTTTAAAAGTTAAACACCTCATCCAATCCTGATTTGCCAAGAAAGCAACCCCAGGAGATTCCTGCCTTGTGTCTTTTAAAAACCTAAGGTCTTTGTCTCCCAGTGCCACTCCTAGCTGACCAGCAGGGGTGACCCCCATTGCACAATGGTCAAAAGGAACCTCTTGTGTTTTTGCATCAATGGATGATTAGTTTCCTGAGTTCTCTTCATACCTTCTTATATTTAGGCTCTTGCTGGGCTAACAAATAGGAAGATGGAAATGCTAATAAAGAACAAAGGAACACCAGAAATAAAATTTAGCACACCGAATGAAAACTCTCTCCCAAGGGCTCAAGAAGTGGCTAGACAGATGCTGGTGAGATAAGAGTCGGTGAGCTTGAATATATACCTAAAGAAAGTGGGAAAAGGGGAAAACTAAGAGAATACCTAAACACTGTGGGACATACAGAATGTATGTACATCTGCATTTTGTATGTCCCATAATGTCTACGTGCTGGGAACACCATATGGAAAGGGGTGAGGGAGAGGAGAGAAGCAATATGTGGAGCTGTAACAGGAGAAATTTCAGAAGCAAATTGCTAATGTTGAAAATGTTTCAGGTTGAATCTTTCTTACCCACAGTACTTGAGACCAGCTACCTATTTCAGACTTTGCATGTGTTTCAGATGTTGGAATCTTTGTGCAGGCACGATGAGAGATCTCAGAAATGGGACCCGGGTAAACACATTTACATCTTATATATACCTTATATGCATAGACTGAAGGTGACTTTATCACATATACAATATACACATGGGCTGGAGAGATGGCTCAGTCATTATGGGCTAGGCTTACAACCATAAATATACAATATAGACATAGATTATGCTAAGTCAACACTCTGTCTTGGAGGCACACCTCACTTTCTCCACACATCTGCATTCCGACTACAACTAACCCCACGGACTCCACTGTAGCATTTCCCATTTGCGTTATACCAACAGTCAGTAAGTCTGGATTTCTGATTTTCAGATAAAGATTGTTCAACCTAGAGTTTGAAATTAGAAGCCAAACTTTTTTCAAGAGTTAAGATTTCTAGTTTCATTATCCGGCATGTAACGGGCCTGAAAGTCCTCATTCCTTAACAGCAGCTGAAAAGGGAAACAAACCGAGTCAGCAACTCTCATGAAAACTGCAAGAACCAAAGAGTCCTCAGCTGTCCTACCTTGACCGTGTCCAGTTTGGTCTGGACCAACCAGCAGGGTTGGTTCTGGTTAGTACTTGGCCAGGAGAACCGTGTGAGAGGTGTGGGTGCTCCGAGAAGTGACCAGATCAGACCGAATTGGCAGCGAACAAGCTCCTTTTTATTGAGGCAGCTCTTTGGCATGGGTAGAGAAGTCCCCGTGCGCGGGACCCAGGCAAGGGAAAGGGTGACATGCCAGGCAAGAGCTGGCTTTTTTCCACATAAGGTCCTGGTTCAAGTGCCTGGGGTCATTCAGGAGCGGGGCGGGTGCCACCCGGAACTCGGTTTTGGCACCACTCGGGGAAGGGCTGGCTTTACAATGCAGTCAGGGCTGGGGATAGTGTAGGTCTTTCCAGGCAGCGCCATGCTCGCCCCAGCCTGACACAGGCCACAGAGCAAACCACAACCCCCAGTGTTGAGGAGAATCACAACCTACCTGCCCTGCAACTGAAAACTTGCTGAAGGCACTGTGTGAAACACTTGATTTTAAAACTCTAGGGGGTTCTGTTCTCAGTAAGATTGTTTTGCTCCCTGTAAATCCTCCCACTGAAGCAAAAGTTAAGACGGCTGAGGCCTTTGCTCACCTTTCTTGTGACACTGCACATCGTACGGTAGTTCGTTAATGACCAGTTTAAAGCCTTCCATTAGCAAAGTGTCCATCAACATTGAAGCTGGAATCTCACAGCCGTCTGAAAGAAACAATACAGAACTGCATCTGCTTTGAAGCAATGGGTGTCATGCCTGCTTTGTATAATAGACATTTGCCTTTCAGGCAGCTCCCTTCTCACTAAGGGGATCTCCGATTGCTTTATTACCTACCATCCCACTGGACCAATATGTAACAGGCAGGCCTTCCTCTCCCACTGTACCAGATGGACTGGAACCCAGATTAATGTCAATGGTTAAAATGGTCAGTAAAGATTCAGGGAGGTAGGAATTCCACAGTAAGGCCAGGCCCGGGAAGGCAGCTTGACCTTCTAGCTGGACCTTGCAGCCATTTTGAACTGCAGCCTGCATGATGGCCCTTAGCAGGCCTGCTCTGTTTCCCTGTGAGGTTTCACAGTATACCTCAAGCAGATAAACCCATCAGCCTGGAAGATGGAATGTTAGGACCTGATCCCTGACACCCATCAGAGCCAGGAATGTGCCTGGCATCCTTGAAGTTTGCTTGAGGCCCATTCTGGTTTAGATGAAATAATGAAATCACTTGGGCAGAGATATAGACTATGCAAGCTCTTTCCTTCTGACTCATTGTGAAGATTTTCTTTTCTCTCCTTTTCTTTCATTTCCCCCTATCTCTTCTTTGAGATAGGGCATATCCTAGTTAGGTTTCTGTTGATGTGAAAAACCACTGGACCAAAACAGCTTTTGGAGGAAAGCGGGTTTTGGGCATATAGGTTACATTCCATCACTGAGGGACGCCAAGGCAGGAACTCAAAATAGAAACTGAAGCAGAGACCACAGAGGAACACTGCCTACTAGCTTGTTTTTCATGGCTTCTTCACTTTGCTTCCTTGTCCAATCCAGAACCACCTGCTGGGGTGGCACACACACAGTGGGCTGGGCTCTTCCACACCAATCATTAATCAAGAAAATGCCATGCAGATATGCTGTCTTGGTTCCTGCTCTATTGCTCTGAGATGACATGACCAGAGAAGCTTTTTTAATCAAGCATGGAATGGGGGACTTGCTCACATTTTCAGAGGGTTAGACCATGATCGTCATGGTGAGGAATGGCATGCAGGATGCAAGCAGGGCTCTGGAGGAGCAGCTGAGAACACACATCTGACCCTCAAGTTCCAAGCAGAGAAAGAAACACTGGGCTAAGCATGGGCTTTTGAAACCTCAAAGCCCACCACCAATGACATACCTCCAAAAAGCCCACACTTCCTATCCTTCCCAAATATTTCCATCAACTGGGGCTCAGTCATTCAAATGCATGAACTAAGGGAGGGGCCTTCTCATTCAAAATACATGCCCACAGGCCAATTTGAGTAAAGCAATTCCTCAATTGAGAGTCCCTCATTCCAGTGTCAAACTGACAAACAAACAAACAAATCCTAACCAGCACAGGGTCTCATATAACCTGATCTAGCCTCAAACTCACTATGCAGCAGAGGATGACCTTGAACTCCTGATTCTCCTGCTTTTTGGGTGATGCCTCATTACATCTGAAGGGAGTCTCTTCATAATGCTACCCATAGCACTGGTTTGCGCATGAGCGCACCAACACATTATGTTCTGTGTAGCACTGAATCTGTCTTTATTCTTTTTCAGTCTTGAGTGACTTCATGACAGGGCCTTTGGAACAAGGTGTTGGTGGAGCCCAGCAGGCCAACCTGGGTTGATCCAGTTTGTCTCTGCCTCGCCCTGATGCTATTACCTATATCTAAACTTGGCTTTCTGCCACTTTCAACCTGACAACTTACTGACACACTTTTCTGCTTAGCTAAAAGTTCATTATTGCTGCTTACAGACAAGTCCATAACATATGTAAATATACATATAGATATAAACAGATGTAGACATAGGGATAGATGGATGGATAGATAGATAGATAGATAGATAGATAGATAGATAGATAAATAGATAGATAGACAGACAGACATACATGCAGGCAATGATATTTTTAATTTCTTTTTTAATTTTTGGAGGTGACTTATTGGTGTTACCTCAAAACTTATTGGCACACATATTTAATCCCAGCAACCCAGGAAGCAGAGGCAGGCAGATCTCTGAGTTCAAGTCAGCTCGGGGCCACGCATGGAGAACTTGGCTCAACAAAACACACCTTAGCATACCAAGAGCACCCACAAGGGCCAATCACCACAATGGCTCATAGCTCCCTTTTAACATGGAAAAATGAGGTAAAACTACAAGGAGATTGGGTAGCAAAGAGAGAAAAACGACATGATTAAATCTAAAACTTAAATTGCATTTATGTGATTTGTTTTATGAGAATGGATAGAGGCAGAGAAGAGAATCTAATAGTAATTCAATATGTCTCAGAGATAAAAGATTGAATTACAAGAGCTATTTGAGGGAACAGAAAATGAAGTCCTTCAGTCCACAGCTGCAGGAGAAACTGAAATAGGGACTGGTCAGTATACAAGAAGGGGTTCAAATAAATAAAATTTAAAAAACACATGAAATTGTTTTAAAACAAAAACTTTAGAGCCATAAACCACGTAGTATATAAACGCAGAATCAACAACCATCAAACTTAGCTTTATCATTAAAAGAAAAACAGCCTCAAGTGCAGACGCCATGGCTGAACTCTTCTGCATGCAGACTTGCCATCATGACAATACTTTTTGCTGTAGGTCCAGTCAGCATTTCCTAGTTGCTGTCTAGATTTGCAGCTGGTAGTTACAGAAAGTTGTCTCAAGACCTGATGCTTTTTCAAGCTCACAATTGTAGCTGTTTGATAAATTGTCTATTTTGGGGCTCTTCCAGCCTGCTGCATTTTAGTTTAGCCTTTAGGAATGTTTCAGGTGCGTGTGGATCACTGGGGAGAAGGAAGTCTCCTGGGAAGTTTCAACCTGAAGGTGCGTTGCCCCACTTCTCATACAGCAAATTTAAAAAACAAAACCCAAGGGGATGGAGAGATGCTCAGTGGTTAAGAGCACTGTCTACTCTTCCAGAGGACCTGGGTTCAATTCCCAGCACCCACAAGGCAGCTCACAACTCTCTGTAACTCCTGTTCCAGGGAATCCAACGCCCTCCCACAGATACACACGTAGTCAAAACACCAATGTACATAAAATAAAAATAAATTATCATAACAAAACAAAACCCACAAGGCTTTAATGGAGGCCAGGTGTTAAGAAAGCAAACTCACTGGGCAATAAGTGGAAGATTAGTACTGGGCAGAGAGTTTTCCCTGTCCTTCAGAACAGTTATGTGAAATCCAGTCTAGGAGAGTTCTGCATGTGCATTTCCTCCGGTCCAAGTGTCTGCTTTACATTCAGCCAGTGCTGTTTCAGCTGCAGTAACCCATGTGCCTGGGGAAGGCTGCACGAACGGTGGGGAAGAACCTGGCTGGCTGCCGCCTGGCTGGCTCCATGGCTCTGCTCTGCCAGGAGGCAGTTAGTCAAGTCTGCAGGTAGATCTGTTGCTAGAATCTGGGTGTTAGGGATCCTGCTCAGCTGGGGGAGGGGGGTTCCCAGGAACTGACAAATAAGGGTAGATCTATGGCAGGTTTAGAACACACTTTTCAAGTGCAAATTAAAAACAGGCAAATTCCACCCATGGGCCCTATTTTCCTAAGAACAACAAATGAACAAACAAGCCACCAGCAACACAATGATTTTTTTCATCTGACTTTCCAAGTATCATTTTTAAAAATTACATTGAGATGACTTCAACTAAAAGCCTCAGTAAAGTATTTTCAACTCAAATCAAAGAGTAAGTCCGTGGCCTAATTTCCTGAAAGAAAAACCTCTGAGTTTCTGGCTTCCTTGTGCTGTGTTTTCAAAGTTCTTAAAGTTATTTTGGGGGGAAAAAAGCAGAGGCAACATCAGCCATTTTTATCCATCAATCTTTTCTACCTTTCTTCATTCACTTACTGACTGCTTTTGTTGATTTACTGACAGCTTTTGCTCATTTTGTTGTCATTCTGACACCACCTGAGTTCCATGTGCACATCTGTCTGCCCGTGGATCCCCAGGGCAGGCAAGAAGGCCCTGGATTCCCACTGCCCCTGTGTCTGAGGCCACAGGAAGAGAGGAAGCTCACCTTTAAGTCCTTATAATAACCTACTAGGCTTTTTTCAACCTGTTCCCTCATCTCTGAGAATTCTCATCCTCCAGCCCTTGCTGCCTCTGTGGGCATCTGCTCCTAATACATGGCCTCTGCCTCTGGAGTTCCTGGGAACTGCAAGCCCCTCTCATCAACTCCACACACCCATCCTCTCCTCCGGGTCCCCCTCATCTCCTCATCCTCTCCTCCAGATCCCTCTCCTCACCTCTAGATCCCCCCTTCATCTCCTCCAGGTCCTTCCATCTTCTCCCGGTTCTTCTCTTTTTGTCCTGATCTTTACCCTGCAGACTTGCCCATCAGGATCCTGTATTGCTTACTCTGCTTTCTCCATTAAGGTTTACTAAATGACATTCTGCATAATTATTGCTGTGTCTCGTTCATTTTTTCCTCCTAAAATGTAAGTTCTATTAAGGGCAGGGGCTTTTATCACCTCTGGTTCTTTGCTCTGTCTCTAGCACCTACAAGGTCTGATATAAATATCTGTTGGATGAATAAATTCTTTAATCTCTATGTCTATGTCTGTATCTATCCCTTAATTGGCTCTTAAGTTGGTTAGAAAAAATGTTTATTTTTCTTTTCTTTTTCAGTTTTAATTATGTGCATATGTGTTCACATGTAGGTTTATGCACATGAGCACAATGCCTGTGGAGGCCGGAAGAGGGTGTTAGGTGCCCTGGAGATGGAATTGTGGGGAGCTGCTGCTGCTCAGTGTCGATGCTGTAACTTCACTTCTCATTGCTGAGTCATTTCCCCAGCCCATGTTTATTTCCTTTTCAAAACTAAAACGGCACTCATTAACTTTTAAATAAGCTTACATAGAACTGCTAATACAATAAAAGAACAATGATAACTTATTAATGTTTATGTACCAGTGGCTGTTAAATATTGAACTGATATAAATAATTCTTTTTTCAATTTTAAGGGCAGTTGGCCTAAAACCATTTCATGCAATGGAAATATAAAGTTCATATTATGCACTTAAATGCATAAATGATTATCCAACTCTCCTGATACTAAAATGTATATTTTCCTAAGGACTAATTCTATGAAAAAAATTCCTAACTGTAATTGCTTTATAACAAACATTAGTTCACTATATGTTCATTTTCCACTGGCTATTTTAATTGTATAAAATATATTTTATTCTCAATTATTCAAATTTTGCTGAAAATTATACACTAATGCCATTCTACTAAAAATTTCTCATAGGAAAAAAAATCTCTGGCTGTTTATAAAATAAATAACTGGAATTTACACTAAACTCATTTTATCTTCTTTTATTCAATGGAGTTGGGACACTCTTTTTGTTTGCTTTGTTTTATGTTGAGACACTGTCTCACGACATAGCCCAAGCTATGTCTCTCAATCTTCCTGTCCCAGCTTCCCAAGTACTAAGATAATAGGTATGCACCACCATGCTGCCTTGGAGTTACTATCTTAATAATACTGGTATGTAAAAAGGAAGGACTCCATAATGGGTAGCCATTGATTACATAATGAATTGTATAACTGATTATATAATGAAATTCTTTCTAGGAAAGTGAAGAATCAGGACACAGGCGCAGAAGAGAAGAGAAAGAACACAGAGTTCTAAGATACCCAGATACACACCTGCTGTGATGATGGCTGCAGTTTTGATGCCTTTATCCTCCTTTTTTAAGTCCTGAAGGAACGAGCCTACTGTTGACAACAATGGCTTTACTACAAACTGACAGCGCTCTTTTCTGGACGGCAGAGTGAGTGTTACCAAGGGAAGACCATGTCTATAGCTAACTGTTATTTCTGTTAAGATAAAAAAATATATATACATAGTGAAACATAAACAAGAAGGGTTTAACCTGGAGAGATGGTTCAGTGGTTTAAAACACTGGCTGCTTTTGTAGAAGACCCAGGTTCGTTTCCCAGGACCCTGCTGGCAGCTCACATGGTCTGTAACTCCAGTTCTGGGGAATTCAATGACTCTTCTGATTCCATGGTCTCCCGCATGCACATAGTGGGTGCATCTACATACACTCTGGCACACACACACACACACACACACACAGACATGGACACATGAAATAAGTATTTTTAAATAAGATAAAATACAGAATTTTAAGTATTTTATTGAGCATTTCATAGGTGCATATAATGTGTTTCGGTCAAATTCACCCTCATTTCCTCCCCTACAATTGCCCTCTATCCCCTCCACACACACCCCCGCCTCCAATTTCATATGCATTTTTTTTTCTTTTTAAAACTCACTTTTCAGGGCAAGGTGGTGCATGCCTTTAATCCCTAAACTGGGGAGGCAGAGGCAGTTGGATTGTGATGAGTTTGAGGCCAGCCTGCTCTATATAGTGAGCTGCAGGACAACCAAGGCTACCTTGTCTCAAAACAAAATAACAACAACAACCACCACAACAGAACAAAAAACCAAAACAACAACAACAAAAACCAATAAAAATGATAGGCTAGGTCGTTGGCTCTGGAATGGGCTTTAAACCCAATCAGAAAGTGAGTGGTAACTCCCATAACATTCCTGCCACTCTTGTACCACTGGGCATATACTGCCAGCCCAGTGGTTATTATAGGTTGAACGTTCACAACTGGGTAAGAATGTTGAAAAGTTTCCTCCCCCTGTCTATAAACAGAACCTTCTGGCACCATGAAAGCTACCCAGTAGAAATGAAGCTTCCAGTTTGGTTATCAGCTTAATTTCTCCACATGCTGTGACTCAGGTGTGTGGTGTCTTGGGCAGCGGGGTCTTACCATCAAGCTTTAAAGGGGGAGGGTGACTCATACCCAGCACAGGCTTCTTGATTGACAGCCTATGGTGTCTGGGAGAGGCACTGCCCTCCCAGCTTACACATGGAATTCATGAATCTCAGACCTCCCCTAACATTTGTATGGTATCGGTATTGTGCTACAGTTTGCCATTACATACGTTACAGGCCTCCTGCCTCGTAACAGTCCATAGAAGCTTCTACTGAGCATCAGAATTATCTGCTCAGTGTCTACACAGATAAAGAGCTCATATCCCGAGGGAAGAAGCTGACTCATCTTTATCTGACTTACCTTCAGTTTCTCTGGTAATTGGATAAAGTTTGCCGAAAGGCGTCACTGGAGACGGGATACTAACAGAGGAGCAGGAGGCCGAACACAACCAGTAGGTGGGGAATGGGCAGAGTCGGCTCAGCTCAAGACTGTATCTCTCACTTTATTTGGAAGAATGGAAGCGAGATAGCCAGCCCATAAACCAAAGAAGTGATGAAGAAACTCACCATCAGGCAGCATTGCTGTTCCATAATGGAGTGCTTGGTAGTACTTTGGATTTGCATAGGGTTTCATACACAAAACCTGTAAGAAAGACTGCATTAAAAAAAAAAAAAAAGTGAAAGGTAAAATCCCGAAGATTCTTTTTCAGCTTATATGGCAGGGGTGATGAAAGGGGAACTTTGCACATGTGTCCTACACGGGCCGGGTGTGTTGGTTTGAATGAGAGTGGCCCCAGAGGCTCGCAGATAAACTGCTTGGTCCACAGTTAGAGCAACTGTTTATAAGGGAGTAGGAGGCGTGGCCTTGTTGGAAGAGGTGTGTCACTGGTGGTGGGCTTTGAGGTTTCAAAAGCCTCTGCCAGGCCCAGTCTCTCCCTGTATCCACCTTGTAGATGAGATGGAGGCTCTCAGCTGCTGCTCCAGGGCTGGGCCTGCCCGCCTGCCTGCCTGCCACCACTGCTTCCCGCCAGCGTGATCGTGGGCTAACTCTATGAGACTATAAGCAAGCACCCAATTAAATGCTTTCTTTTATAAGTTGCCTTGGTCATGGTGTCTCTTCACAGCAAGAGAAGAGTGACTAAGACACCAGGTGTTAAACACATCACAGGCAATGAGTCCCACCAAACATTATCTGTCACACTAATTTAAGACTGTTTCCTTGAATTTTATTTCTCAAATTATAACCTATTAACAGCACCTGGAAGGAAAACAGGTAATTACTTTTAATTTTTCTTTCTTTCTTTTTTGTTTGTCTAGTTTTTTTAATGTTCAAAAGAACATTATATTAACATTTCCCCCTTTAAGTATATTGAGTTCTGCCTTAGACAAATATATGAGGCTTTAGGGTTTGGGGAGATATCCAGGTAGGCTGGCAGCTGTGCAGTTGATGGAGTTTATAGGAAAAAGATTAAGGCAGGAGAGTTTGTACTTGAATTGTATTGTACTTTACAATGTTGTTGTTATTGTTTCTGTTGTTTTGTTTTTTGTTTTTCTTTAAGACAGGGTCTCTTTCTCTCTATATAGCTCAGGCTGTCCTGGAACTCACTCTGTAGGCTGGCCTCGAACTCACAGAAATCTACCTGCCTCTGCCTCTCAAGTGCTGGGATTAAAGGCATGAGCCACTATACTTGGCTTTTACTTCTTAAAGTGGATATAGCTCAATTAATAAGCACATGCGGTAGGTATCCAAGTTTGTGTAATGAATATTATAATGAATGTCATATTATAATAAATATTATAATGAATGCCATTGCTTTTACTAATAACACACACACATTGCAGAAATAGAAAGTTTCAATCAAGTTCTTCTTTAAAACTGCCTAATGACTGAAACACTTCTCCCGGTGCACTAGTCAAAGGAAGAACAGCAAGCTGCATGCCAAAAGCCCTGCCCCTCTACAACCTTCACCCCCCCCCACACACACAGCATTTGCAGTTAGTGGCTGAGTGTGTGCCCTGGCTGACTTCCTGAAGCGTGGTCGTCTTTCCTTGAGGTTGATTCTGTGGCAGGGTCTGCACAGAGCTAAGGAAAGCTCTTCCGTAAGTTGTCTTCCATACAGAAGACAGCTGTCCTTAACCTTACCGACCCTGACGGTGCAGAAGCATGTGTTCATGTGCGTGCACACATGCAAACTCTCACTTCAAAGAATTTTTTTTCCTTAGATTTGCTTATTTTTATATGTGCATGGATGTTTTGCTTGCTTCTATGTCTATGTGCCCGCATGCCTGCCCGGTGCCCACAGAAGCCAGACAAGGGCATCAGACACTCTAACACGGGAGTTAGAGAATGTTGTGAGCCACCGTGTGGACGCCAGGAGTCAAAGCCAGGTCCCCTGAAGAAGCAGCCAGTGCTCTGAGTCAACCTTCCAGCTCACTGGCCCCTTGAACAATGAGGTCAATGTATACAGACCCTATCTCAAAACAAGAGCGAAAAGGCACACGTTTAACGTGTGTTTGTATGTAATTTAAACTTCATACACTGTTTTTCTACTGGCTGTGAGTATGTATGGGGGTAGATGTGTGGGTTGCACATGTACATTCTGAGATGGATTGTGTGCAGTAAAATGCACAAACCCAGCATTTAGCTCCTTGCCTAGCTCCAGCTGAACATGTAAGGACGGAGCATCATGCCTACAAGGAGAAAGAGGCAATTCTGACGAGTCGGCCCCACCAGGCCCCCCCAGCATGCAGGCTCCCCCAGCATGATTTGCAAATCAACATAAGCCAGAGCAGCAATTTATATTTCAGATTTTTGGTCGAAAGGCAGCAGTGAAATATTAGCCCAGTGGAAACAGCGTGCTTCCAATACGCGCCTTTTGAGGATGCTCTAATTATTGTGCTGCACAAAGCCAGCCTGGGACCCTAGTTTCAGCATGAGTGCTGTAATTTGCTCTTATACCCACAAGAACGCCACTCTCTTCAGGGTTAATCAGTTGTGTTTCACACCTATCATTAGACCATGTGATTTACTTTAAAAAGATGTCAGATACAAGCTGGAAACTGGCTTAGGAAAAGTCTTGGTTGCTAATAACATTTGGCTGCTCAAAATTATCAAATTGCCCTTGGAAAATGAATTATGACTCTTTGAGACATTAGAAAAGAGGCTGGAGATAGAGGGGATGTGGTTCATTGGGAGAACACCTGCCTAACGTATGTAATGGCCTGGGCTCAAACACCCACGATCCCAAGGATAGATGATAGATAGATAGATAGATAGATAGATAGATAGATAGATAGATAAATAGATAGATAGATAGACAGATAGATGTCTCAAGTCTGAAAATAACATCAAAATTTAAACATGATATTTTTCAAAACCAATAATTATATTACACACACAAATTAGTAGAACTCATTTACTGTCTTAAATAAGATATTTTATCTATCCATCTATCATCTATCTATATCACCTATCTATCCATCTATCTATGTATCTATGTATCCAATTCTGAGCCTGCATACTTGTATCTAGCCTCCAAATAATCTTTGTATGGCCACACCCATTTATTCAAATCCGTGCACAAGGTCAGCCACAACTTTTAAAGACCTCTTTGCACAGTGAATGAGGTAACTGCATATTGGGAAACAAAGAAGAACAATGTAAAGATAATTTTTTGGTTTCCTTAGCAATCACATAATTTTAAACCAATATGCACCCTGCGTGGTAAACCTGGATCTAACAGATCCCTTCATTATAGATCTAAATACACAGAGAAATAATAAAGAAACTGCTCTGTCGTGGGGAAAAGGGACAGCTTGGATCACTGAAAAATGAATCGCCTGACTGAAAGCAGCCCACCAAGAAGAAAGTCTAAGAACGTTCCTTTTAACGTGATTAAATAATAAAGGGAGAACAGGCCTCTGACATCCATCACTTATCAGTCCCCCAACAGATTTTGGTACTAGTTCCCCATCCTGGAATGCCACTGACCTCCATCCAGAGATGGAGGCAGAAAAGTCGAAGGAGGGAATAAACTCTCGAGTAGAGACCTCAGACGGATTCTATATGCCCTGTGAAATGGTGACACTGGGGAACTCTCCAGATAACAAGTGATTTTCTATTCGAGGAGAGCCAAGAAAGGCAGCAGGAAACCGGGAATGGGGTGAGGTAGGACATGACCAGAAATGACTTACACAGCTGCAGCTCTATCACCTGACTGAAAATAACCCACAAGAAAAGATGTCCACAACATTCTTTGTTATCCTTATTAAATTAACAAAAAAAAAAAAAAAAAAAAAAAAAAAAGGAAGCCATGGTCCTCAAATCAAAATTCCAGTGAACAGTCTAGGCTAGACAAAAGTCCAACATTTCAGACTTTCTCAGACATCACAGTGAACCTCATTAATTTATATAACTAATATGTATTAATAAAAAATGTTCTCAGGACAGACTGAGTTTTGACTGAAGGAGATCAAGAAGGAAACATGATATAAATTTCTCTAGGGCCTACCTAACAGGGCCACAAATAATTCACCCTTTTCAGGATGCCAAACTGTTCCCCTCATTGTTTCACAATTTAAAGGGCTTTCCACCTCACCCCTGTCTGCTTCATCTCAGATGCCATCCTATCCTGGCTTTATTAGACCCTAACCATGGAGCCAAGCAGCTGGACTAATGACTACAGGTCCAGATTGCCCACCCCGGAGCCCTGGTTTCATTTGCAGGGTCTCTGCACCCAGGTCTTTAACCTCTCTGGACCCAACTCCTTCTCCCTCAAGAAAATCCTTTCAAGAGTCAAACATGGAAAACAGGGCTGCCATCCCATCCCTTTCGAGGCTGATGGAAGATGGCTGAGGGCTTTGAGTTCAAAGCCAGCCTAAGAAATATAGGGAGACTCTACCTCAAAAAAAAAATGAAGGGAAAGGAGAAAAATTCCATTTAGCAGAAGGCACAAGTTATTTTCTCTTCCGAACCAGTCCCTAACCTAGTGTGCTCACCCCCATAAGTGGTATTACCACCATCCATTAGGCGGATCATGGCTCTCTAATCCCACTCACACAGCAAGGGCTAGCAGTTGTGCTTCAAAACTAAAGTCCAGATTAACACATTTTTACTCCCTCTATTCCACTCTGATTCCAGCCAATGCCATCTCCCCTTGACTACTCCTCCTAACTGGCTTCGTGGCTTTGGATTTCATCCTCTGCAGCCCACTCTCCATAGAATAGTAATTTGGTCATCAGAAAATAAGCATCAGGATGGGCGTGGTGGCACATATTTTAATCCCAGCTCTCAGGAGGCAGAGGCAGGCAGATCTCTGTGAGTTCCAGGCCAGCCTGGTCTACCAAGTGAGTTCCAGGAGAGCCAGGACTGGGTACACTGAAAAGACCTGTCTCAAAAAAACAAACAAATAGACAGCAACAAGCAGACAAAAACAAAATGAGCATCAGCATCAGACCTTGTTACCCTTTGCTAGAAACTCAATAACCCTTTTTGAATCAAACCGAAATGGCTGCCTCCTTTTAGGGAGCCTCCTGGACTTTTTCATCCTCCATAACTCCTTCCTTTACTCTGTGCCTTCAAAGCGTCTGGTTTGCTTTTTCTTCTCCTATTTTCCCATTTTCCTCTTTTTGTTTGTTTGCTGAGATGGGTTTGTA